CTCTCTTTCTCTCTCTCTCTCTCTCTGTAGCTCTCCTACCTCCACACCGTAGCGTTAATTTCCCCTTCGAATCAATTGCGAATCGTAACGACGATTTTCAATTGCCCGTTTCGATCTCGTTAATGGAACTCTCACTCTTTCTTTCTCTTTCTCTGTTTCGTTAGGTAACAGCGGAGACGGAGCCAAAATCCAACGACGTGATCCATGCCAACTTGTGGCATCGGCTGGTGCAACTCCGCGACAATTACATTATCCTGTACGAGACACTGAAGAACTACGATAAAATTCGCGATCTGGAGTCGGAGAAACAGCAGGCATAAGCACGCGAATGGTCAGTCACGTGACAAAGAGGCGAAGTTTGATCCTTTCGACCCTTCGAGCTTAATTTTACTCGTTTTACTTCTTTCCATTTTATTCTGTCTTCCTTTTCGTTTTTAAGCTATGATACCGATGATGTACACCAAATTTGAAGCTCGCGTGCTGATTTTTAAAATTCGGACAATGTGTCGCAGAAATATTCGTACCACTGTTCCAATTTATTTATTATAGGCATTGATCGATACTGTTTTGCAATTCAAATTCAAAATTCGAAACTCGCATGTTATAAAAACATACAAATCCAATGTTCACCGACACATGTCCCAATACTATTTTTTGTATAAAATATACGTGTTGCGTTTCGATATGTTTCGTTACGTGCTCTTTGCTTCTTTTGTAAAACATTGCAATTACAATTCCGATCTTGTACTACAGTTTGAACAAAAAATTTCAACAATACAGAAAAGTCGTACACATACCTATGTTCCACCAGGGTCGAAAGGGTTAACGACATCTAACCAATTTTCATCGAGCAACGTAATTTATACACCTCGCTCTTTTCCAAAGAACGTTAACCCAAGCAGTACAGCATCGATTTAACTCGAGTAGAAGGTCCGTCGGTCGAACCTCTCGCCCGGTTTGTTTCGACACGATTCAGCTGACATGACACGCCATTGTGGCTAACATTTAAACTTCGTGCCAAGGAAGGGAACGCAGACAGGCCACGGAATTTTTGCCTCGACGAGATTGCACCACCCGACCTGCACTCA